TTCAATATATTCTCTTTCTGCATAACCAGCCGGTCCTTTTCTCAGGAGTCATATTTACATGACACAGAGTAAATCTAACTTTGGACATACCTGGACTAGGCATACAAAAATAAATAGGGTTTGTTGGTCCTTCAGCAAAAAAATTAGGTCCCATTGATTTCAACGGTTATACTCTAGATAGGTCAATTGAGGCATTCAGCCCATACTATCATTTTTCCTACTAGTTTTTACATCTTCATATTTGGCTGAGTGATTTTTTTATTCTGTGCATCACTCTAATTCTTTTTTTTTTTTGTATCTCAAATATTTCTTTCTCAATGCAACTTATTTATCCAGAGCAGCAGTTAACATGCTGTCCATTTCCTTTTCAAAGATCACATGTGAGAGACACATTTCTGCTACCGAGGAATAAAGGAAGCAAAAATGACCTAGTGTTGTAAAGAGACATGAGGCAGACCAAGACTAATATATGGGGAAAGATAGAGCAAAGAGCCAGAAGACTATATATGTAGATGAACAGTAACTCATTGCAGTTGATCTTGTTTATCAGTCATTCTGAAACTATAACATATTTTGACTTCACTGAACATCATAGGTCAGGACTTCAGAAGTGTAATGGGCAACCATAGCTAGTTGTTTCTCTACTGGGCAGCTGAGGAACTATTCCATAATGGAAAAACAGGAAAAGAAACACAACCATATGATCCATACACAAAACCCAGAATCAGGGGAGGACGATGCTGTTTTTTGACCAGTAAAATATCTTAGAGAAAATATCATAGGTCCTCAGACTCTTCACCAGGCTAGGTGTGGAGGAACAGAAAAGATCAAAAGCCACCTGGCTTCAGGTTGTAGCCACAGGCTGCAGAGTTAAACTGAAGTTCCAAGACAGAGACTACAAACTTGAAGAAACAGGTTAAGGTATATTGGTATCAAATTTTATCTCAGGGAATGTAAAATCAATTGTTGTTCTCTGTATCCATAGACAAAAAGGCACTCAATATGCTCTCCACTGCCTTCTGTCAAAGCATAATGCTCCTGGCTGCAAGCAGAAGCAGCAAGAAATATGGCCATCCCCATATCAAGAAAACTGGAGATAAATTTGAGACGGCACAGCAGGCAAAAGTTCAACTGAAAAAATTCAACTGAAGCAAAATTATGAATATTACATACAGGGTCAAAGCATACGGAGTCTGTAGCGTGGTGCAGTTCTTCTTTGGTGATGGTTAAGTCTCTCTGTGCTAGTGACAGATGTTGCCCTGAGATAGATACTCATGGTAATTTCCACAGCAAAACACAAAAAGAAAAATGTAAACATGTGCTCCATAAGCAAAATCCAAAATAGGGTTGGGTAATATCTCTACTGGTCCACTAAAATATCCGATAATCATATTCCACAGTGAAAGCTGAGTACAAGAAATCACAGATGAGAGGAATAACATTCAACTACTGGAAATGCCTTTTGCCACTGCCATTGAGCCAAGAGAAAAACTGACAAGCGGGTTGCAGATCCTCTGCCACATGGGATAAAAGCTGTGAAGAAACCATGCCGACCTCCATTGTGTGGCCCAACCTGAAGGCTTCTGAGATGAGTAACATCTGGGTGAAAGGGAGTTGACATCAGAAGAAGAGATATAAAGAGTCACAGCTTTTATTGATCAGCTACTATGGCATCCCAGAAGAAAAGAGGTTGCTACCTTTTCATAATTCATCGTCATGTCTCCAAAAGCTGCACAAGAGACAGCAGAATAACATGTTTTTGTAACCACTACAATCTGTTAGAAAATTATGGGTGGAGCATTACTTCCAATGGGTCACTAAAATGTTATAAACATAACTGGTGTTCTTATTCTCCATAACTCTTCTTTGGGCGAAGACCTTATAAATCTGTGACAACTGCAAAAGAAGCAAAGACTCTCACCTGGTCAGATGTAATGGTTATTGTTTTTCCAGGTAGATTGACTTGCAAGATCAAATCTGCAGGTTCGGTGAGAAACAATGTGTCAAGGGCAACAGCTTAGAGGCTCTACATTCCTCTCTGTAGACCACTAAGCAAGCCTGGAGTGTTTGAAGACTTTTTAGATTTTCCAGGACCATACTTGCACGGGGACATAGCTGAAGTGGGACAGTATGGTCAAACTGGTTAATTATTTTTGAATAGTTAAATAATAATTTTCATAAAGATAATGTGATTAACTTACTATAATTTTATAAATTTTAACTGTAAGTTAAAAGTTTAAGTTTTTTGTAAAGTGTCATTAAGTTTTCAAATTTTATTAATGATTATATTAATATGGTGGTTAACTAGGGCTTCTTGGTTTCTTCAGGAGCTCTGCATCAGCTTTCCAGTCATCTCTGCAGCTTCCTCACTTCTATTAGTGTTAAGTAAACTTATTTACTTATTAAAAAGAACTTAAACTTTTATTTTGTCTAAAATTATTTGTCTTAGTAATTTTAATTGAACATGGAAGCCTTTAATCACTTCTCTGCTGAGTGGACCATAATTTCTTTTAACAATTTTGCTAGTTAGATTGGTTAGGCATTAGGCAATCACAGCGATTTTCTGATGCTTAATTAATTTCTAACCACGATTACTGTTAAAGTTGAAAATTAACCAAAGTGACAAGGTGCTTGTGTGTTTTGGATGCATGTTTACGTGACTGAGATGCATTCCAGCACTTTCTCAATTAGCCACAATTAGCCATGGCACGTTATACAAACTTCACACAAACATCAACAGAATTCCAGTCATAAGTTCAAAAAACCCAAAAAGTTAAACAATAAAATTGATCAAATACAACAAATACAAAATAAAGCGTAACAGCAATAAATTCACTATCATTGAAAGAAATGGATCTCCATTCCCTAGATGTCCATCCTTCAGCCTAAACCCAATATTTCACTAATGCTGGAAGCTTGTTCCCCACTCCAGCCTTCTGGTAAAGTTTTTGCCAAGACACAGAGAACTGCTGGTCAGACTATCCTCCCATTCCAAGAGCAGTAACTGGTCCATCAGCAAATCAACCCTGTGGTCCTGGCCTTTATGTCTCAACTGAGCTGTTTTCACATGCACAGTTGATCCCCATAACTGTTTCAACAGCAGTAGATTAGCAACACGAGTGATTTCCAAATTGTTATTTTTGTTTTCCATCTTGAACCTAACATACTGAAGAGATCTGAAAGCCATAAAATCTAGTTCCCTCACTCAAAACAGCCCATCAATATAGAATCTGAAAAATCAACTCATGCCAGTGCCACCGTCCCACTTCATGCAGTCCCAAGCATATAAAATATGTAAACACAAAAATTAACATTGGTCTGCAAACCTAGATTTATAAGCCAAACATGGAAAAGTAATTTTATTATTTACTTCTGTATTATCCTATGTATAGGCTTTTGGTTACAATTCTTTCCTTTACCTTTTACTCACAGTTTAACAGTGCTCATTACTTTTTACTTTAAATCCTGCAACAAGAGAGATCCGAAGCAGCACCAGCTCAATCAGCTGTTGAAACCTAGATCTTATGTAAGTTGAAAAGAATGATATGGCATCCTTAATATACTTAAATAAAATTTTTGAAATTAGTCAATAAGAATATTAATATCAAAACTTCAATGAAATTTTATGATGAGCTGTTGTACAAAAGCTGTCATTAGACATGGAAAAAAAAAATCTAATGCCAAAATATTTCTAATGGCACAGGCCAGACATTCTTAAAATGGTGTGAGTTATTGGTGGGGAGAGATAGCTACAATTATGACACAGTCCTATTCTAGATTCCTTTAAGTAGTGGAAATGTTATTACACATCATCTTTCCAAGTACTATATGAGGAACTGCATCACATTTTACAGTCTAGAAACTGTTGCTACCTTATCTACAGGTTGCCATGGTACTTCCACTCTGATAGGTCACACCAGGCCACGCCAATTACTTGTTTTGTGGAACTCTATAATGCCTTCAAAATATAATAAGGCCTCACACTACATGCACAGCAGGAAAGCCACTCCTTAACAACAACTGTAATTGCCTACAGTAGTTACATGAAGCCTTCCTGCTGAAGAAATGTCTGTATCAGCATGAAGGTCTCTATGTGGTATAAACCTTGTTTTAAATAATTTCATTAATAAAAATTACCATTACTAATACAGTACACATCTTAAGCAACAGAAGAAAAATGTTGTAACTGAAATGATGGCAGTATTCTGGGTAACAAGTTAGCTAAACCCTATGCCCTCAATAGGGAATTCGAGAGCATGATCACTACTTCCGCCACCCCCCTTTCATGGGGTGAAACTTTTCTTACATTGGCATATATTGGGCCATATATGTATAATTTTTGTTAGCATCTTTCCTTTAATATTATATTGACAAAAGTACCGTATTTTTTCTGTAGGAAAATGACAACATTGAATTTTATTTTTCCTTGACTATAGCTATATATCCCTTTCACAGGGAAAGGTCCCCCAGTTTAAGCATGCTGGCATTCATATACATAGCTGCAAACAGCTGGAGTCTCATTTAAACTGGGTCACCTCATCTGTGTCTAGTGTCACTGTACTATGAACCCACAGCCCAGAGAGCTGTTTTATGGGGATGCTATCATCATAGCATGTGATCTAAGGGGAGGCTCCCCTCCCCATGGACACTGTCTCCCCATGTCTCTTTCAATGGGAAAGAAACAGTTTCACTTTCCTGAAACTTTGAAATGCAAAGTTGGTGCGTCTATGGTGACCAAGTTAAGAACATAAGAGCCCTGCTGGATCAGGGCAAGGGCTCATCTAGTCCAGCTTCCTGTATCTCACGGTGGCCTCACCAGATGCCTCTGGGAGCACATGAGACAACTAGATACGTGTCTCCTGATACCCCTCCCCTGCATCCGACATTTTGATGCCTGGAGAGTATATATCCCCATCATGGCTTGTAACCTGAGATAGACTTTTCCTCCATGAATCTGTCCAATCCCCTTTTCAGGGCATCTATGTGCCATCACCACATCTTGTGGCAAGGAGTTCCACAGCAGCTCATAGTTCCAAAGTAGTTAATCTTCTCAGAAATGTTTCACATCCCATGCCCGCAAAGGTACCGGATATATACTGGGAAGCTATTAACCTTGCGTCATAGAAATGGCCAGAAAAACAATCACACTCAACAACGGGCAGGCGAGCGGCTATGAGGATAAAACTTTCCATTCCCGTGTAGGCAAACCCTTAACTTCTGTGGCAGAATAACTGCATACTATAAGGTTTTCCGGCGGCGGGGAGTGGGGAAAGGATGCCTTCCGAGCTTCCAGTTAAAGACTGGCGAAGCCAGAGCTCCCCTTGCTTTGCTCTCTCTCTCAATGGTCCGCGTGTGTAAAAGGTCCCTCCTTCCCACCGGCTAAGAAAAGCCCCCTCCCTCCTTTCCCCGGATGTCTCAGAGTCTCCTCGCTGCTCCCACAAGGCCGCTCTCTCGCAGGCTGAGGCCCGAGGTCCTCAGAGCGCTGACGGCAGAGGCCTCGCCACCTCCTTCGGCCCTCTCGGCACGGGCGAAGCGCTTTAAAAGCGAGGCCCGAGTCCGACTGCGAGAGAAGGAGAAAGGCCGCCGCCACCGCCACCACAGCCAGCGGGGGAGGCCGGCCTACCGCGTCTCTGTGCTCTCGCTTGTCCCGCAGTTCCTACTGACCGACGACGGCGGCGACGGCGTCGTTGAGGTCACGACGACGGCAGCGGCGGGGTCAGAGGGTAAAGGTCGCTCCCCCAGCATCCTTCGTGCGGGGTGCTCAGCCATCTTGGATCCTCGGGACAAGAAAATTCATGCGGTGAGTTCGGCCCTATTATTCTTCCCCACCCACCTTCCTCCTGGTTGCAGCCCAGCGGAGAATCTCCTGGGGGACTCCGCGGGGACCCGAGGGAGGCTTTCCGCCGGGTCCGGTCCGGTTCGAGCTTGCCGAGGCTGGCCTCATCCCGCTCGGTTTCCGTTTGCTTTTGTCTCTCTGAGGAGGAGAAGGAAGGGGGGGAGATGTGTGAGGGAAAGAGGAGGGGGAGGAAGACGACGACACGGCGGCGGCGGCGGCGCTGCGCCTGAGACCAGAGTGCGAGAGTCCCGAGGCCCGGCCTGTTTCCCTGCTCGCCATCCCTTTCCCCGGACCCGGAGCCAGGGCAGAAGCCCCGCCGCGGGAGGCGGCACAGAGGAGGCCGCGTTCGCCAGTGCCACCGTCCCGCTTCTCCGGCAGCTCCTCCCCTCCGTCCCGCAGCTTCCTTTCCCGCCGTCGGCCGGTTGCTAGCGGCTCTTTCCCCCCCATTCCTGTTCCGGGGCCGACGTCTCGCTTGGCCTTGTTACAGTCGGGCTTGCCCTTAATGCCGCTGGAGTGCGAGCGCAATTCGGGGCCGGTTGCCGCGTCTCCCCGATGCCTGGGGCTCTGGGTAAGAAACTGGCTCAAAGGAAATTGCCCCCCTTCGTCGTTTCGTGGTCATTCGGGAAGGGGTCCTGTTAGGCGGGAAACGGTTTTTTGCGGCCTGTTTGCAGGAGCTTTCGACAAGGAAGGCCCGGAATGAAATGGGTCTCCCTGGTTTGCCTGTTGCCTGAGGAGGTCGGGCGCCGCAGCCTTCCGACCTCCAGTGGTGTTGACGGAACAAACTTCCGAAGCAGCGACTGCACTCTATAAAGCGAGGTCTTTCTTGCGTTCGTGTTTCTGTTTTGAAAGCTTTCGCTCAGTACTGTGTACATCCACAGTTCGCCGGCGATAAGCTAGTAACGGGGTATGCATAAATACCGAAACGGCACGTTTTTCTTTCCCGAGGAAGATGCATTCACTGCAATCCTTTGTTTCCTTTGAAGTTGCGTGTATGTACTAATGTGCGCAGGCTTGTCACGCTTTACTTAGCAAAACCCGGACTTTGGTGAAATAGATTACTTGGCCCGTCAAGGCAGTAAAACATATTGTAGTGAAATTCTTTTGCATGTGTCGTTTTTGTAAACTTCCGAGGTGATTTGGGTAAGCTCATCCTTGCACCTTATAACTTGTAATGATCCTCTCATAGTAGGACACTGTGGATTTGTTTTCAGTTTCTTTCACATACTCTCTGACTTTTAAAATAATGCTATGGTTATTTCTTTGAGTGCTAGAAATAACATGTCATTAGTAATGGTGATGTGGCATTCTAGAGTACCGTTTTCTTGATTTTGAACAGTTGAAGTGTTTAGGCAGCAGGTTATTTAGGTCTACTATGATCTGCTGTTATGCAGAGCCTTCAGACATGGGTGTTGGACTCTTAAGAGTTTGTGGTCTCTTTATCTTCCCTAGGGAACATATGGCATAAGTAACACTGAGCATGAACTGTTTTGAACTTGTGAAATGTTCTGCAAAATATTTAGGGAGAGGAACTAAAAACATTTTCTATTTGGTAGGTAGTTTTAAAGGATCATGTTGAGAAACTCTGAAACCAGCCAGGTGTGCAGGTGAAGTTTCTGGTCATGGGTTTTGGAACTTTTATGTTTCTTTTAAAGCACTCCCAAGTTGTGTAATGCCCAGCCTGATGAAGACTCACATAGAGTCTAAAGCTAGCTAACATTTGTGACTTTCTAATGGTCTAATAAAAGGTATTGGTCACTCTTATCTTCATGTTGTGTACAAGGACCACATAGCGTTTTTTTCTGGGGTAGAAAAGGTTTCCGTAAGATACGAAACCAAAAATTCCTGATACCAGGCCATGAGTTTCTTAATCTCTCACCACTTTATTTATTCTTTGATAAAAGACAACATGGTTTAATGTTTCTGAAATAGGTATTTGATACTAAATTTGAAAACACTGCTTAAGGATTTCTTTTGAGTATACTGCTTAAGAAGAATCTATTTCAAAATAAAGTTATAGGTACTTAACAGTAATACTTTCCTAGTGACATTATTGAGAGAGAGCTGATTTATGAAGCTGTTTACTACCATCACCAGCTTTATAATGTCAGTTGAATCTTGAAGTGAGCTGTTTTCTATCAAAAACATGTTTTTCTTTTTGTAATTTGTTCTTGGAGTCTGCATAGAATTTGGAGAAATTCATTCAGTGAATATCCCAAATGCTAAAAATGCAGTTGCTATTTGAGAGTTTGAGCTTTTATTTAAAAACATATTTTAATAGTATAATGCCTCTTCTGTCACTTGGTAAAATGTGGGCTTGGGTAGTTTTTTCTTATTTTAAATATGACAATAAATATCTGTATTGGTTGTTGTGGGTTTTTCGGGCTTCTTGGCCGTGTTCTGAAAGTGGTTCTTCCTAAAAATATGGAACGCTTCACGAATTTGCGTGTCATCCTTGCGCAGGGGCCATGCTAATCTTCTCTGTATCGTTCCAATTTTAGTATATGTGCTGCCGAAGCGTTCTATTAATCTAAAAGCGTTAATTCGTGAAGCGTTCCATATTTTTAGGAAGAACCACTTTCAGAGCACGGCCAAGAAGCCCGAAAAACTCACGACAACCATTAGATCCCGGCCATGCAAGCCTTTGTGAATACAAATATCTGTATTGTTTATCAACCTAGCACTGCAGAAATTTTTGTCTGGATGCTTCATTAGTCTGTTACTCCACTTAGTATTGTGTTTTCAAGCATTACCAAAGTACTCATGAAGCAAAAGGAAAGCTTACTTAAAAAACAGGTGAAGTTTTTGTGTGGATTGTGTGCATATAAACAACATTTTGAGCTCATTTACTTAAACTTAAAAGTTGAATACAGTTTTTATCAAAATTATGTGGAGGATATGATAGTAATTCCACTAAATACTCAAAAACAGTATAGTATTTATGATGTGCTAATGCTAGTATTCATAAGTACATGTGGTTGGATTCAGATTTGAAGTTTGAGAAAACTACTGTAGCATAGTGGAGGCTGCTACAAGAGGAAGTTGGGAGGCAATTTTCACTGTGCAACCCTCAGTGCCATTTCCTAAGTGATATCATATGCATGTTTAGTCAAAATTAAGGCCTGCTCTGTTCAACACACACACACACACACACACACACACACACACACACACAGACACACACACAGACAGACAGACACACAGACACACAGACAGACACACACACAAAGTGGTCTTCTTGTTTCCTCCCCAAGTTTTGTGATAGTTTCTGAGGTGCTCTACTTTTTGTTATTTGGAAGCTACATACCGAAAGTAAAGGTTGACTGTATTGACAAAAAGAAAAATTTCAAAAGAAAAATCTACATAAGTATAATACTTTTACTGGGCAAACTTGTAGATCACACAGCATTCTAGTTCTTCAGAACACTTTATCATGCTAAAGAATAAACAAAGAAGGTAACAATGAAAAAATAGCTAATGCTGAAACCAGGAAGACAACATCTGATAATGATAGTGATGGTAATTGTCTGCCATCCAGTCACTTCTGACTTATGGCAACTCTTTTCAGGGTTTTCTAGGTAAAGAATACTCAGAAGTCGTTTATCATCCTTATCTTCTGGGGGCATTCTGGGACTGTGCTGCTTGCCCATGATTGCACAGACTGGGCCTTCTGGGATGCACAATAGGGAACTGGGTTCCCACCCTCTGGCTGCACAACCAGATACCTATCTCACTGAGCTAATCAGACAGCTCTGCATCTAATAGCAATCATAAAATAGAAAATAGGAGGGCACTGCAGACATTCATGTCAGTTTTTCCCAGTTTTGGCATGCGTTTGGGTCCCTCCTAAGTGTTTCTGGGAAAGAGAACCAAGTGATACTGGATTTTCTGTTTTCGAAAATCCAACTTTTTTCAGTTGAATTGCTTGTTGGCAGAAAACATGTAGATATTGACAATAGTTGGAGATAATTTCAGAAGGTGTACTTACCTGTTAATCTAAAAGTAAATACCATTGAATTTAGTTGGATTTATTGCTGAGTGAATGTGTATAGGAATTATCAATGATGCAAGCTATGAGTTCATTTCAATAATTTGGAATAGAATTCTCAAATTTTTCACATTATGGCCACCATTGTTGTTTATGTGGCCAGCACTGTTTTTTTCTAGACATGTTCAATCATAACAGTAATGTAAAGAATTCTTGCTGGACATGTTAGTATACATAGTTCATTCACACATCTCTGTGTCTGACATTTGACATTTGGATTAAGTGTACTCAGACATGCCAGGATTTGTAAACCAACAACAGTCCTAGATTACAACTGTTGTATGATCCTGCCTTGTTTGGATGCCTTTAATTATAATCTTTTTTTTTCAGACATCATGCAAAATTCACCTTCATGAATAGTCAAGACTGCTTACCTAATAGGATGAGGAAAGAGGAGTTCATCACATAATACCCTGTTTTCCCAAAAGTAAGACCTAACCTGAAATAAGCCCTAGTATGATTTTTCAGGATGCTCATACAGTAATATAAACCCTAGTTAAGTGAAACTCAACCCTCCACCATTGTGCAGCCACCAGAAGAAGATGACATGACTGTATTTGAATAAATGTAGATTGTTGTGCATCAAAAAACTAAAACATCCCTTGAAAATAAGCCCTAATGTGTTTTTGGAGCAAAAATTAATATAAGACCCTATTTTTGGGGAAACACAGTAGTTTATTAAGCTTGGACTCCTGGTTTAATGTTGCATGAAAATGTTCCTATTATGTTACTTCAAAAAATCATTTATTTCCAACTGTCAGATTTCTGAAGCTTCTCCTCTTGATCTGTGTGCAGTCCATATTCTAACACAGGAGCAATGACATTTATGAGGGTTAATGAGGTATAATTGAGATATATATATTGAGATTTCAGAAAATGAGGGGATAACATTAGAATTACATAGAGGGGACTCGTTAAC